TGCAGAATTATGGGTTGCCTTAAACTGCAGATCGATCCTATCTATCTCTGCTGGCTATTCCCTGCACTGCTGTCATGCTCACAGGGTAAACTTCTGTCCTTCCAGCAGAAGGTGACGTAGGGTTGAAAAATTGAAAATAATCATAATAATAACCACTACCCACAAAACTACTTAAGGTCCATTCAAAAAATCAGAATGTTAGAATAATTTCCCCTGAGCAAAAAAATCACAAGAACTACTACCAACAATACTTTAAAAGTTCCTTTCTTTTCAATATTGAAAAGGAAACTTTTTTTGATAGGGTACATCCTTAGTTGTACTCTTCCTTTGGATGTTGGCTAATAATAACATGTATTATTTATGTACTTTGATTAATTTACTGCTTATAACAAAAGGAGGAGGGGTGGCATATCCTTTGAGTTATGCAACAAAACTATCACAAAGGTAGAAAAATGAGTTAGTTAAAAAAAAAAAAAAANCAGTAAGGGTATGGCTAGCTGATGAGAGCTAAATAGCTTGAAATAGATCTATACTAGTCTCCCTTTATTTATTTATCAGCACAAATAACATATATATATGTTAATACTCTGGTAGAATGAGATTTACAATACAGAAAAAATGTACAGGATTGTATTATAAATCCACTAGATTTTTAAGCGCCAGAAAACTCTTTGGATTTCCTTGCTGAAAAGAAACTATGTATGGAATTTTATATATGTATAATTCTCCTATTTTTTCCCATAACAACCACCCTATGAGGTGGGCTGGGTTGATAGAGAGGGACCAAAATCACTTATCTGGCTTTCAGGCCTAAGACGGGACTGCAACTCATAGTCTCCTAGTTTCAAGGTCACTGGACCAAACTGGTTTCAAAGTACACCAGAAATATAAAGAAATATAGGGGACTTTTTGTTGCAATTCTATTTTAATAAACATGCTATGGGCAGAAATATTTAACATAGAGCCCAAGATAATAGAATTCTTTGGAATGGATGAGTACAGTGTATCTAGCACTAGTACGTAGACTTATATAGCACTTCACAGTGCTTTACAGCCCTCTCTTAGCAGTTTACAGAGTCAGCATATCATCCGCAAACCATCTGGGTCCTCACAGAATTCTGTGGAATAGATGAGTGCAGTATATCTGATTGGGCAGGACAATAAAATGAACTTCCCTGGTAGTCACCCAGGCAAATAAAACCAAAGCTCTAATCTTCTGGAAGTAAACAATCTTCCTCAGGACCAATATTCAAATGTCTTACATTATTCCAATTAGTCATTTTAAGCAAGTTTTTTATAGACCAATTTCCCAAAGCATGATGCTCCCTTGTGCTATTGGAATCTCACGTGTTTAGAACTTCCCTTTAAGCAAGGGCATTTTTCCCATCTGTATGGCACTACAATTTCCATCATCCTCAAGCAAATAATGCCCACCCTGTCACACAAGATCTCTGGAGAAAACCAACCTGGGAACGACTGGCAGAGGAAAGCTATCACATTGAAACTAGATTGACAGATTCAGAAGTGATCTACTATGTACTTGATCTAGCACATCTAGCTACTTTTGAGAACTGGCCTTTGAAACTGTGCCTCTCTATTCACCTTGTTAATTTAAAGATGCTCCAGAGAATCCTTAAAAAAACCAAGGAGATTCTGTACAAAAAAAAAGGTCTGTGGATAAGCAAAATGCCTGAAGAACAAGAACAAATTCTCTCTAGAAAAAAACTTATCATTTATATAACATGACCATATAGAAGATGGTCTAACAAGTCTTTCGCTCTATAAAAATAAAAAAGTGAATGATCATTCAAATAAGCAAGGAAGTCATCAGAAAGTAAAATGCAATGTTCCTCCTCCTCTTTCTCATTACATTCTGGATGTTACTAGAGTTTACAATTGGTGAGATATTCCAGATTTAAATTCCAAGCTGTCAGTCCAACACAAATGTTAAGCCTTTTTAATTCCAGATTCCTCAGTATGAATCATAGTCACGTTTGAGACTATAGACAGTTAAATAGCATCCTAAAAGAAAAAGATAAGATCCTTATCAAAGTAACTGTTAACAACTCCTGAATATTGAGTAACTTATGATTTTAGAAATATGTATGTAACCTATCAAGATCTGGTTTTCCGAGGTGGTTTACACCACATTAGAATCAGAAAAAGTACTTTTAGTTCCCATTACTTGTTGTTGTTGTTGTTAGTTGCGAAGTTGTGTCCGACTCATCGCGA